TTCTTGAAATGTGTGTTTGGAGTGCAATATGGATGTGAGTGTGTGTATATGTGTGTAAGGATGTGTGTGTGTGTGTGTACGGGTGTGCAAGAGGACTTGAAAAAGTTCGTGGAAGAGGTCAGCAGGTGATGGGGTGATTAAGGCAGCTGCACCCCACGTGGTCAACTGCCTGATTCAATCCCACATAGCCAACAGTACTGACGGCTTGAAAAACATGCCAGGCACATGTGTGTGTGTGGTCAAAATCCCAAGAGGTGAATGGAAGAGAAGGGATTGCAGTGTGGACATTCTCCCCCTGGGAGGTGATTTCTCACTTTTCCTCTCTCTGTCTCTTTCTAGCGAGCACATGTGCCCTATAACAAAAAAACATTTTTTAAAAGTTCATGGGAAGGGCCAGTTTCACACAGTAGTAATTGAGCACTGTGCATTGGGAGCAAGATCCCACTTGGCTGACCATAGTTCAAGTCTCAGCTCCAGTAGCTTGAAAAAAAAAAACATTTGAAAGGCACATGTGTATGTGTGGCCAAAAATCTTGACAGAAAAGAAAAGCAGAAAAAAGGGGATTGCAGCATTGGCTGTGTCCATTTGGAGGTGATTGATCTCTCACTCTCTCATGAACACATTCACCCTCTGACAATTTTTTAATGGAATTAATTTTTAATTTAGTTTTAGTTAATTTTGGTGCAAAAATTATTTTTTTTATTTTTTGCAGAGTTTTTTTTTCTTTTTTTGCTATAGGGTGCATGTGCTCACCAGAAAGAGACAGAGAGACAGAAAGCAAGACATACCACCAGGGGGGGATGACCACGCTGCAATCCGTTCTCTTCCATTCTCCTCTTGGGATCTTGGGCACGCATAGACACGCGCCCTGCGTGAGTTCAAGCCATCAGGGCTGGGACTCGAACTGCAGTAGACCACATGGGAGTTCGGCGACATAGCCATTACACTAACTGCTGGTCCTCCAAAATTATTTTTGACTCCATGCATAGTTTTATCATAATACACAGTTTCCACAAACTTTCTGAAGACCGTGTGTGTGTTAGGGGGCTGAATGTGTGTGGATGTGGGAGTGGGCGCATTAATGTGGGCACATGTTATGTGTGTTTGTACTTGTGTGTAGGTGGGTGGGTGGACATGTGTGGGCTGGTGGCTGTGTGTGGACAGTGGTTGCGTGTGTGGAAGTAGGTGTGGACATATGTACGTGGGTTCTTCAAAAAGTTTGTAGAAAACTTGCATAATGAAAAAAACTGTGCGTGGATTTCAAAATATTTTCCCAAAATAAAATTGTACTCCCCATTCCATTTTTTCCATGAAGTTTTGGAAGTCCCCTCATGCACGTGCATGGGTGTGTGGGTTAGACATGGGAGTGGATGTGCATGGCGGCATGTGTGCACACAAATGCCCTTACATGAGCACCTCTAGCAGCCTGACCTTCTAGAATGCGGGAGAAGAGAAGTCATCGTTCTATTTTTTAAGAGAGTTTATGTAGCCTTAACTGATTTCTCTGAATTTAATTCAATATAAAATACTGAAAAGTGAGAGAGGTGTTATCAGATTTCTTTAAATTGTAACACAAAACAAACGCACTTACCTCTTGAGTGTCTGCTCAGAAATAAAAGGCAGACAAACCGTGTGGAACTACTGCCATCTGGTGGAGAACGTAGAGACTGCAGATGTGGGGGACATCCTTCGGTTTAGGCTTCGTTGGTTTGCATTTATTTTATTTTGATTTGACTCAGGTTTTTGTTTAGTCCACTTCCCATTACCCTCATTCTGGAAGCTGTGGCTTGCCAGTTCTCTCCGTGGAAGAGGGTGCAAACAGAGACTCCTGAGTGTTGAGAAGTAGTGCGGGATGAGAGTGTAAGCACCTGGACTCTAGATCCAGCCTCGAGTTCAAGTTCGGGCTTCATTATTACCTGCAGCCGAGGCTGCTCGAGGCAAGTCATCTACACCCCCATTCTCCAGTTTCCTGGCCTGTGGAACCATAACCCCAGCTGTAGCTGTTCCACACAGCGGCTCTAAGGAATGAGTCCATTCCCCTTATGTGACCAGAGTACCCGCCATGCAGAGGTTTCTGCATGGTTACGGCTCTCGGTGACGTCCTACTGGAGACTTCTCTGGCCAGTGCCTTTGTCCATAATGTGTCCGGAACAGCTACACAGCCTCGGCAGAAGGACTGGGTGGCCTGAGAAGACGCGGGCCAAGCAAGGCTGCCCTGCAGCAGCACTGCGGCCGGGGCGCTGCCGCCCAAAAAACTACACGCATCACTGTGAAAGAAACAATTCATCAAGCTGTGTCACTGCACGGCAGGGCACATGCGGGCCTGTCTGCCTGCTGGGTCCATGCCAGATGATGTCCAACTCCTGAAAGGCCAGGACTCTGCATACCTCGTGCCCCAGCACCCCTGACATGTATGAGCCTGGTGGAGGGATACTGTCTCCGAGCAGCAGCCGCGTTCCTCAGTCGAGAGGACAGGGCAGAAGGGCATGACCTTCGGGACTCCAGATCATCCTGTGAAGCCAGAGAAACAAAACCCAAAATCTAAACTGTCCTTCAACCAGCTGGATCCTGGAACTGGGAGGCCAGGAAAGACAGAATTAGAAAATGACTTGACTAGTGCCCACCCCACTTCGAAGGGCATGACCCAGGTGCCTTGGATTGGCGCAAGGGAACGGGAAAGGCCAGAGGAACGGTGCAATTAGCCTTGCCTTCGGTTTCTAAGAAGAAACAGATAACCGCCTTTCTCTGGAGGACAAAGCCTATCTTTTACAGCCTTATCTTGACTATTGGAAATTTTAAGTAAGAGTGAATGTCAGAAACAACTTTCAACAGCTTCCGCAAACATTTCCTGTAGGATCTTTTTTCCTTTCTTTTCTTTTCATTTTTTCTTTTCTCTTCAAATTACCAGAAGGTGCATTGACTTGCCAGCAAGAAAAAGATAGACAGGGAGAAATCACGCTGATGCGGCGCAGCCAAGACGTGATGCCTTTTCCTCCATTTCTCCATCCCTTAGGATTTGGGGCATGCATACAGGGGTATGGCGAGTGGAAGCAGGCAAACTTCCGAGAAATACGTGTGGACAGGCCTCTTGAGACCTAGGCTTAGAACTAGTGAGGTGTCTCTTTCACTGCCCATTGGTGCCAGTCTGTTAGCCAAAGAAATCATTCTTGGGATGAACTACAAAGTGGGGGGTATGCAGCAAAGGGTAGAGGATCGTGGCCATTGGGGCGGTCCTGCAGAATGTATGAGAACTATAATCTGATCTTCCTAACAGCTCCACTTGAACTAGATATTATTTCTACCCTCTTGCGGTAACCATATACCTCCTCATTTGAGGGAATAGTTTCTGCCTCAGTTGCTCACGTGCTGTGAAAGGGCGAATCCCACCTTCCTGCCACAGAATCTAGTCTAAAGGGGGAACCGACAACAAGGTGGGCAATGCCAGCAACCGTCTTCCCCTAGAGGGGTCGGTCCAGAGATAAACACAGGATACCAGGGGAGCAATCAACTGATCCTTTCTAGGAATTTTTTTTTTCTCTCATTGTTACTAAGAGAGACCATTTCCCTATCTGATTCAGAAGAATGTGAAGTTTCTTCACCCCAGCTCTGTGTAGGTGCCAGTCTGAGAAAATGAAGCTGTGAGTCCCCAGTGTCAGCCATCCCTGGGGTCAACTTCTACCCTCTATGCATTTTAATCATAGGAGCCAATATTTCCCTTTTGCCCATGCGTTTCAAATTGTGTTCCTGTCCCTTGTAACCATAGGAATCCTAACTGATGGACTTACAGCACATAACATTTCCAGCAGAAAAGGCGATGTTTGCACTTTCTGGGGTGCTCACTAAAGCAGTTTCATGAATCACTTTTTCCTTTTCCATATACAGCAGGGGTTGCAATTCTGATGGGAACAGACAGGAAAATGAAAGTGACTAAACGAGGCAACCTGGAACGGCGGAGGACTGGAAAAGATCCCCCTGTCCACTCCTCAGGTCCAGCAACTTTTCTTGATGGAATGTAGGCTGCCCAAGATTACTGAATCTTGTAATTTTTCAGAAAATAAGCTAAAAAAAATCCCAATTTTACTGCTAAACTTTCCAGTTTCTAAATCACATCAACAAATGCAATTCATTATATAGACCAGAAACATCCATAAGATGTCTTAACTGTATAAGAACTCTGAGAACTTATCAAAGAAACACTGATAAAACCTTTAAGAGGGGAACCAGCAGTTAGCGTAATGGCTGTCGCTGGATTCCCACGTAGTCGACCGCAGTTCGCGTCCCGGACCCCGTGGCTTAGAACTCACGCCGGGCGCGTGTGCGTGCATGCCCAAGATCCCGAGAGGAGAATGGAGGAGAAGGGATTGCGGCGTGACTATCCCCCCTGGGGGGTGATTTCTCGCTTTCTCTCTCTATGTCTCTCTCTGTCTGTCTGGCAAGTGCACGCGCCCTATTGCGAAAACCTCTCCCTCCCCACAAAAAATAGGATTTTGCGGAAACCCCCCAAAAAAAAAAAAAAAAAAAAAAACCTTATAAGAGGGATCAGCAAATGGCATAATGGTTACATTGCTGGATTCCCACATGGTTGACCACAGTTCAAATCCAGACTCAGTAGCTTATAAAACTCACACTAGGCACATGAGCATGCATGTCCAAAATCCAGAGGAGAATGAAGGAGAAGGTATTGTAGTGTGGACATTCCCCCAGGGGGTGATTCCTTGCTTTCTGTCTCTGTCCCTCTCTGTCTCCCCAGTGAGTGCACACACCCTATAGCAACAATCTCTTAAAAAAAAGAAAAACCCTCCTTATAAAAGAGATGAAATTGACTGAGAAAAATGACATTTTATGGCAAAAGCAGACAGAAAGCACTAGAAAAAAAGAACAGTGAAAAAATAAAATGCAAATTATCATCAAAGTATGAGAGGACACCCAAAAGTTCTTGGAAAGTGGAATTAAAATATGAATTTATTTTGATGCAAAAAATTAAAATTCAATGCATAGTTTTTTTATAATATGCATTTATCATTCATTTTTTAAGACCTTCCTTGTATAACCTATCCAAGACTATGAAGGCCCCTCATATAACATATACATAATAAAGGGATAACCAAGTATTACAATGTAAAATATTTTACAACTTAGTTAGAGACACTGAACATTTTATTAACAAGTATCAACATCCACTAGTTCTGTGAATGTTTTACCAGGCATATCTAGGTTAATCACATTATCTTCTCACCATCTCTCAGCTCCTCTCTTTCCCATAGTTTCTCACAAAACGGGAATTTTAGTTGATAAAGAACTTGGAAGAGGGCAGGAAGGAGTAGGACCGGCAGTCCTTTCAACCACTGGTGACCATTGCCTGTCCCTCGTCCTCTAACCCTGTGATCTCCCAGGCCTCCCAGATCACCAGTGAAGACCATGGAGAGCTGCCATCTCCAGCTCTTCCCACTGCCACGCCTTACTGCCTTCCTTCCTGAGTCCAGGGATATAAATACACACGAGCTGGCCTGAGCATGCTCCCATTTTTCCAACTCACCTGCCCACTGATCATAACAGAATCACCCAAACCATGTAAAAACAGCTCTTTTTTTTTTCCTCTTGCATTCTTTAGGGAGCTATTTTCAAACTGGGTAAAATTTTTAAATTAAAAAAAAAAAATTCACTTAAAACTGGAGCAAGCACTGAACACAGAAACCAAACAAAAACTCTGTTCTTTCATAATCAATGCTGTATCAAGATCTAAAAATGAGAAAGAGGCGATGACTAAGGAAATATGTAGTACTTTTGTGGCTATGAGTTTACAGGAACATTATTGTCCATTAATTATTATACTGTTATTACTATATTGTTTTATTTATTATTGGCCTAATTTTCCACTGACTTTTCCATGCTCAAATGTTTTTAGGTTTCCATGGACTTTTCCTGTACAGTGGAAAGGGCAAGATGAAAACCAGATCAAATTTATCTAGATGAGATTAGGACAAAAATTTACGGAACTAAGGAAATTATCTCTAAGAGGATATTGACCGATGGTGTGATGGTATGGGTTGCTTTTTTATACAAAATATTTTCGAGATAGCCTTCTGAAAACTCTTGTGACACAATGGATATAAAAAAGGATTGACAAAGGAGTTGAACCACTGAAGCCAAAATGCAACTTCATACCAGTGTGATTCAGGACGGTTCTCTGGTTCGTAAGTTGAAAGAACAATTGTGAACAGAGAATGTGGGGCCCAGCAAATGGCAAAAACACTTAAAAGAATAGCTAGTGACTTGGCTAATTTCCTGGCTCTGAACAGTTCCAGATGTTCTCTTTGGTGAAGAGCTATGGAATCTGAATGGGTCAGGGAACCCATTTTGGAAGCAATTACATTGTTATTTAGCTGCATTCTTAAGGAAAGCAAGAGACTGTTCTTCCTTCCCTGTCTTTCTGAATGAAGGGATGTAGCTCTTTCCTTTGGTGCAGGAAGAGATGTCCTTGGAAATAGTCCACATCGGCATGAGTGTCCACAGTCGCTGGAAGAGACAGAAGCAAGTCCAGGAGAGCTTTGGCATCTATTGAGCTTACTTCGCTTCCATATGCTCCAGTAAATATGCATGTTGAAATAAGCGACCAAGATGACTGGGATCAAAAATTCAAAGAACGAAGTGATGAGCGGTATGTACCATATTAATAAAAATCCAGGCTGGCATTTGTTAACCCCTTTAGGCCAAGACTGTGAAACTAGAATCATTGGCCCATTCACTAAAAAGGCAAGAACCCAAACGGCCAACATCGGAGTGGCAATCTTCAAGATCCCGGTGTGTTGAGCTCTATAAGACACCTAGAAGAGACCAGATCGATACATTATTTCTGATACAATGGACATATATTGAGAGTATAAAGCATCTGATAGGCCTCAGAAGTTTCAGAGCTATACAAGATGTGGGGATGTTAACTAACCTGAGTATCATGATATGAGCTAGGACAGAGCTCAATTTCAGACAACCTGGGCCCAGGTGCAGACTTTTTAAATGGTTTTCAAGGGGAAGATTGTAACTGTCTAGGCTAGACTTCTGACACTATAGAAAATATCAAGACCAATATCTAAAACAACAAAGTGTGACCAGCTGTGGTGGCACAACGCTCCACAATGCTGAGGCTGTGCAGGAAGGTCCCAAATGCATGTCCCAAGGTCTCGCCATACACACTGGGCATGCACCGAAAGAAAGAAAGAAAGAAAGAAAGAAAGAAAGAAAGAAAGAAAGAAAGAAAGAAAGAAAGAAAGAAAGAAAGGAAGGAAGGAAGGAAGGAAGGAAGGAAGGAAAGAAAAAGGAAAGAAAAAGGAAAGGAAAGGAAAGGAAAGGAAAGGAAAGGAAAGGAAAGGAAAGGAAGAAGAAAGAAAGCAAGAAAGCAAGCAAGCAGCCAGCCACATTAGCACATGCACTCAGCAGGCTGGGGCAACATAGAAAGCCTGGGTTTGATTCCCAGTTATCAAACAAAAAGAAAAACAAAAGAAGCCAGCCACAGTGACTCTTGCTTATAGTCCCAGCTATTCAGGAGGTACAACACAATGAGACCCTGTCTAAAAACACTACACACACACACACACACACACACACACACACACACACGTAAACTAGGAAAACATCTTTTCTAATTCACAGACACTAATCTGAATGTTAAACAACTAAAATTGGGTATATCTTATCACAGTATTTCTCAATCTGCTGGCTGGGTCATGACCAGCTGTGTCTCCAATGACAGAACATTAAGCATCAGACTGCATCACACCAGAAGCAGTCCCATAGCCTAGAGGTTAAGAGAGGAGGATCATACAGGGCTGACTGTGGGGTTTGAAACCTGATCCCACTGACTTGAAAAACATGCCAGGTATCTTTGCATCCATGCCCAAAATTCTCACAGGATGAAGAAATGGAGGAAGGGAACCAGCAGTTAGCGTAATGGCTATGTCGCTGGACTCCCATGTAGTCGACTGCGGTTCGTGTCCCGGACCCGGTGACTTAAAACCCACGCCGGGCGCGTGTGCGTGTGTGCCCAAGATCCCAAGAGGAGAATGGAGGAGAAGGGATTGCGGCATGGCCATCCCCTCTGGGGAATGATTTCTCGCTTTCTATCTCTCTGTCTCTGTCTGTCTGGCGAGCGCACACGCCCTATAGTGAAAAACCTCTCAAAAAAAAAAAAAAGAAATGGAGGAAAAAGGATTGTGGTGAGACCATGCACCATTGAAGGGTGCTTTTTCCTTCTCCTCTTTCTCGTTCTGTCTTTCTGTTTCTAGCAAACACATCTGCCCTCTGGCAAGTTCTTAAAAATGCATCACATAGGGGACCAGCACTTAGCGTAATGGCTATGTCACTGGACTCCCATGTAGTTGACCACAGTTCAAATCCCGGACCCAGTGCCTTAAAACTCATGCTGGGCCCGTGTGCGTGCGTTCCCAAGATCCCAAGAGGAGAATGGAGGAGAAGGGATTGTGGCGTGGCCATCCCCCCAGGGGGTGATTTCTTGCTTTCTGTCTCTCTGTCTCTCTCTGTCTGTCTGGCGAGCGCATGCCCCCTATTGCAAAAACCTCTAAAAAAATGCATCACACATAGTAAGAACAGGTTTTGTTGGTTTTTGAGGGGTTTTTTGCTATGGACACATGTGCTCACCAGAAAGACAGAGAGAGACAGAGAAACAAATCGGGAAATTCCCTCCCCCACCGGGGGATGGCCACACTTCAATCCCTTTTCCTCCATTCTCTCCTCTTGGGATCTTGGGTATGCATACACATGTGCCCAATGTGAGTTTCAAGCCTCTGGGTCTGGGATTCAAACCACAGTCAGCCATGTGGAAGTCCGGCGACATAACCATTACACCATCAGCTGATCCCAAGAATGGACATCTTTTTGTTGACATTTCATTGAACAAAGCAATATATCTTTGGGAATACAGACAAACATATGTAGATAGAAATGCACATGCTGAATCGTAGTGTGAAATGCATTGGTCATTGTGGTCACAGTCAAAACTTTGAAAGCCACTCTCTTATCTGATTTCAGTATTCAGAAAGAAGCTACTTTGCAGTTCATGCTAAGACTTCAAGGTGGGATCAAGAGGGGAATAAAGGGCTCTTGCATCACTCCCAAGAAGATCAACCACAACAGAAAGATGTTTAACCCTGCAGCAGAGAAACACCAGGGTTAATGAGCACCACAGTCACTTCTTTCTACAAGTATAGAATCCTAGCCAATACAATGCCAACGCTGAGATGGCCCGCCACTTCAAGAGACGTAACTTTGGCAAGATCCACTGTTTTTGTGTTTTGTTTTGTTTTGTTTTGTTTTGTTTTGTTTTGTTTTCTTTTTAAGACTGAAAACTGGGGACTCTTAGGTGGTACGGTGGTTAAGGAGCTGGACTCCCACATGGCTGACCACGGTTCAAGTCCCAGACCTGGTGGCTTGCTTTCTCACTTCCTCTTTCTCTCTCTCACTGCTCAAATTTTTTAAAATAAATAAATAATAATAACAAATAAAAATATATAAATAAATAAATAAATCATTTTTAAAAAATTAAAAAGAGACTGAAGACTGTTCTAACTCCACTTAGTCACATGGACAGGCTTCTATAAGAGAGAATGAGATTCTAAGACTAAGAATAGCCCTCAGATCACAGTTTTGTGTCAATCTCAAAATCTTCAGTAATTTCTAAGTGTAAAGATATCTAAGGCCACCAGAGCAGGGGACATGGTGGATAAGTGCTGGACTCTCACATGGCCAACTGCTGTTCAAGTCCCAGACCTGGCAGCTCTCTTTCTCACTTCTCTTTCTGTCTCTGGTCAAATTTAAAAATAAATGAATAAATAAATAAAATAATGACAGTGGATAAAATTATATAAGTAAATAAATACATAATTATTTTTTTAAAAAGGTATCTAAGGCCAATCACCTTACATAAAAGATAAACAAATGAAACAAGAATTTTTTTAAGGGGACCTGGGATAACCTCTCTGAACCTCTTTTAGATCAGTAGGGTATCTTCCAGCCCAAACATTCTTTGTTTTTCTGACTTCCTCACTTACAGGAAAAGAAATAATCTACTTGTGAAATTGGAATGTACCTCCTATTTCACCATCTCTCCTGTACTATTTTCTCCATGAGTTTTAGATCCTATTCCACAATGTTTTCTAGCTTTTCAAAGGAACACAACCCTGTCCAGCACTGTCTTTCTTTGATGGATTATACATGCTGAGAAGGGCTCACCAATTGACTGGAGGTAAGAGGAAGGCAATTAATAATAGTACTTTTTAAACTAGTTCTTTATTACAGCTGTAGAAAACTTTTCCTCCAAATTATCAGTATTTCTGAAGCTAAGCTAAAATTCATATGGTGCTGACCACAAGCTCCACAGGCAATACACTTTTTTGTCTTCTGCTTCTCATGCCACTAATTAATACATCTCTTGCACTAAATATAATGATTATGAAGATGGTAACAATACCCAGATGGTCATAAAACTGCATTTAGTTTTTTAATTGCTCTGTTCAGCCTTTGTAATGATATAATGCAATATGCTGGAGAGTGATCGCTCTTCCATTATGCATAAGGTCAATTGAGATCATGGACGCCCAAGGGGTTTGAGAAGAGGATGCCGATCCCTTCATCTTTGGTGAGAATTTTTGCAGACAGACAGCTCAAACATTGCTTGAATCCAGATTCAGGCAGCTTGGAGTGGTCTCTTTGAAATCCATCAGTAGCCTAATTCTCACCCACAACAGAATATATCCATTATTCTGGACACTACCTCTTATCTTGCTTCCTTTCCTACCCTAAAAAAATCTTAACGTTCTGTCGGTCAGGGTTCTTATGTGAAACAGAGCAGACCGCTGAAATGTGCTTGTGTTAGTAGTAAGACAGGACGGCAGGATCATTCCGAGTGCCTGTTGTGGGCTGAACTATGTTCCCAAAAAACGTGTGTTGAAATCCTAACCACTAGTAGCTGTAAGTGTGACCTTATTTGGAACTACAGCATTCATATATAATCAAGTTAAAATGAGGTCAAACTGGATTAGAATGGGCACTAATTCAATATGCAAGGAAGCAGGACACAGACACAGAAGTCACATGGGGGGAACGCCATGTGACAAAAGGGGCAGAGCAATGTAGCTACAAGCCAAGGAATGTGGAGGATTGCTAGCAACACCAGAAGCTGGGAGAAAGGCATGGAGCAGGCTCTTCGAAGGCCAGCAGAGAGGATGGCCCTATGGACACTTGGATTTCAAACTTCTAGGTTCCAAATCCTAAGGTAAGGTAACCTTAGCTATCTCTGTGAAAGAATAATCTCCTATTGTTATAAGCAACCCTGTTTATGGTATTTTGTCAGGGCAGACCTAGAAAACTGGTATAGCCCTCTGACCAGTCTTCCCAGTAACGATACAAGGATACTTCAAAAAATTATGGAAAAATAAAATTAAAGTACGAGCTTACTCTGGTACAAAGAAACTTTGATATCCATGCAGTTTTTTCATAATGGGCCTCTTCCAAGAAATTTTTGAAGACTCTTATTTTTCACAGTCTTAATTTTACTGTCAACTTTTTTCCCCTATAAGTAAATACCCTTCTTCCAGACCAAGTCAAGGTGGTGCAACAGTAGCTCAACACCTATTCTCCTGGAACACACGTGGAAGACCAGGGTTTGGTTACTGGGTTAAACTAAACACACTGGGAACATACATGTGGGCCAGTGATCCTGGCTGGTTGGGAAGGATATGGAGAAGATCATGGTGTGAGACCCTGTTGAGGGTGCTTGTCTCTCTCTCAGTAAATAAACTTTAAAAATAAATAAATAAATACTCTTAGTAATTTTTTAAGTTTATTTTCATTTTATGAGTATGAGAAATAAAGAGAGATAAAGTGAGAGACAGCACTCCCAACAGGGTCTGGATGCTGCAGTCCATCCACAGAATTCAGCCAGCCCTGGATCGTGGGCATGCACAGGCCCAGTGTACTCATCGAGGTCTGCAGACTTAATCCTGGAACCTTCCCATGCAGGATTGCCTCATAGAGTGTCACATTTTACTGCTGTCCCACTGTGTAGCCCCTTCTCTTATTATCTTCATTCTGCATACATCTTATTTCCAATTTCTTCCAGCTATTGCCTAGCCCTGCTATCCTCTTCCCCCACCCACTCTTGCTTCAGCCACATGGCATCTCTCCCTCCAGGAAACTTCTCTGAGCACCGTAATCAAGTGCTTCCATCTGCACCGACTTTTCTCTTGCGGGTTATTGTCAGATTTCCATTTCCCATGCCCATACCCTATCACACTGTCCCCTCTACTTTCACAAGTTTTCCCACTGTCACTTCCCAAAGACTCCCAGGGATCTTGGAAGGCTTCCTTCTGGCTGCACATGGCTCCCTGAGAACCGTTAGCCAGAGAGGTGCAAGTGCCTCCTGAACACCTCTGCCAGCATGTGTGTGTGGAGCCCTTGCTACGTATTATATTCCACTCTGCACAGTGTGCTGGGGGCCTGGGATCTAGCTGACCCTCCCTCACCCAGTTTTCAATCTAACTGCCAGGGCAATTTCTCAAGTCCAAACTAGGATTTTTAAAAAGTCAATTCACTTTTCCTCTGGACATCATTCCTCATCTCTCTTAACCTCGAAGGAACAAATTATCCCTTTTCTGCCCACGAACCTAAGGGTAGACTCAAGAAAGTCAGATATCCAGTGAGGGAAGTCTCAGAAACATCAAGTGAAGATTTAAAAGAAATGCTCATCCAAGAGAAATAAAGACTTAAAAATATGAATAGGAAGGATTCTGAATTAGAGCAATGGATGCGTGACCTACAGTATGAAATATATTTGACACCCTAACCAAGTACACAGACAGATGGATTCACAAAACAATCTTTACCTTTGTCCTGCACAAGGGCTGATATTGTCTACTGTAATTGTTTTATTCTGTTCTATTCTGACTCATTCCATATTTTTTCATTGAGAAAGAAAGCACTGGTCACGACCCACTGAGCAGATTTCATGACTCAATAATAATAATATTGTCCTCTCAATGCCCTCTAGCACAGTAAGTCCATTGTGCAGATTCCTTTTGTTTATGGATCTGTCTCTACATGGATTATCATGCTCTTTAAAAATAGACTGTTGGGATCAGCAGATGGCATAGTGGTTACATTGCTGGACTTCCACATGGCCAACTACGGTTCAAGTCCCAGACCTGGTGGTTTGAAAATCACACTGGGCACTAGAGCATGTGTGCCCAAGATCCCAGGAGAATGGAGGAGAAGAGATTGCAGCGTGGTCATTCTCCCAGGGGGTGATTTCTCACTTTCCCTATTACTTTCTCCAACCCTCTCTCTCTCCTTTGCAAGTGCACATGCCCTAAGGCAAAACCTCTCCAAAAAAATAGACTCTGTTTATTCACTTTTCTATCCCAGAAATTAGCAAAATGCCTGTCACACATTAGGTCCCCCAAGATTTGGGTCCCTGAGACTCAGGGTTAAAGGAAATTCCCTATCTCTGCCTCAGAGTTCAGATCACTCTCTGATATTTATAAGGCTCCCTTCTTTTCTTGAGAAAGTTTTTTTGCTTTCAGGCACATGTGCTTGCTGGAGAGACAGAGAGAGACAGAGACACAGAAAATGATAAATTACCCCTCAGTGGGAATGGCCATGCCTTAATCCCTTCTTCTCCACTCTCCTCTCAGGATTTTGGCACACATGCATACATACCCAGCCTGAGTTTTGAGCCTCCAGGTCCAGGATTCAGATTGCAGTTGGTCACATGGAAGGCCAGCGCTTCAACCACCCCACCACCTGCTGGCCCCTGTGGCTCCCTTCTAACCCTTGTCTGTACATCAACCTTATTTTCTCCTCTGTTCTATTGCTGTGAAATTTAGTTTGCTTAAGCTTTTTTCTTTCTTTCTTTCTTTTTTGGAGAGGTTTTTCGCTATAGGACGCGTGCACTCGCCAGACAGACAGAGAGAGACAGAGAGGTAGAAAGCAAGAAATCACCCGCGGCCACACCGCAATCCCTTTTCCTCCATTCTCCTCTCAGGATCTTGGGCACGCACGCACAGGTGCCCGGCGTTAGTTTAAGCCACCGGTCTGGGACTTGAACCGCGGTCGACTACATGAGAGTCCAGCGACTTAGCCATTACGCTAACTGCTGGTCCCAGTTTGCTTAAGCTTTGTCATAACTCATTAATGAGACTATTCAAAATCTTGAGTAAATTCACACTTTCTTGGCATGGATCTTTTTTTTTTTTTTTGTAGGGCACATGCACTCACCAGAAAGACAGTGAGAGAGAGAGAGACAGAAAGTGAGTGATCTCCCCCTGGGGGGATGGCCACGCCACAATCCCTTCTCCTTCATTCTCTTCTCGGGATCTTGGGCACACATGCACACGTGCCCAGCATGAGTTTAAGCCACTGGGCCCGGGACTCAAACTACAGTTAACTACATGGGAGTCCAGCGACATGGCCATTATGCCAACTGCTGGTCCCAGGCATGGATCTTAAACTGGCATTGGGCATGATGTTCCTGGCTGGTCCCACTGTATAACCCAGAGCTTCCCTGTATACTGTCTTCTCTTTGGCCATTCAGCATTGATGTTCTCATTTCTTTCAGAAGTCTGGGATTCTTTCTACTTGCTCTCCTAGTTCCTTACTGAAGGAAATACTTAGATATTGCAGTCAACGGAGTGGAACTGATTAACTTACTATGAACTCCTACATATCCAACCTACTACAGACTTAGTATAGCATTTATGACAACTTGCCTTGGGTTTTCTTTGATGTCTTCCCATTTTAATGACATGTAGGGAAGTGGCTTACTCAAATAACACAAAATAAGGACCAGTAAGAGCTTTGTGCCAAATAATAAAAGGATACAGCTTCTTTAAGATTTGTCAATAAAACAAATTAGGCTTAATTTATTTTTTTCCTTAGAGGGGTCAAATGGTAGCATAGAAATAAAATGTGATGCTTTGCAAGGCTGACCCACATGGAAAGGTTCCTAGTTCATATCTAGAAACCTCCTTGACTATGCCAGGCACGCATGTGCCCATGACCCAGGGTTGGCTGACCATGGGGTAGATAACACTGCTGAGACTCTCTGAGTGTGCTGCTTCTGTCCCCCTATCTTGATTCCTCTGTCTCTCTTGCTATGGAAAAAATATCATAAATAAAATAAAACTTTAAAAAGTTGGGGGGAAGGGCAGCTGGTGTCATGGGGGTTGAGGTGGCTGGATCCCATTTGACTGACTGTTTGGTACAAGTCCCAGACCCAGTGGCTTGTAAAACATACCGAGCAAATGTGCCTGCATGCCGCAAATCCCAGGCGAGTGGAGGAGAAGGAACTGCAGTAAGGTCATCTCCTTTAGGAGAGGCTTTCTCACTGTCCCTCTTCTTTGCTCTCTCTCTGGCAAGCACATGCACCCTATAGCAATTTTTTTTTATTTCTTTTGGCTTACAGACCCAAAATTTACATTTACACAATATTCTAAGGAAGATAAATTAATGTTTGACTTACAGCATTCAAGACTGACTGGTATCGATCATAGCTGATGAGGACAATGTTATACACAGACGCTGTACACAAAAGATAGTCGGTAATGAGCCAAAATGCACAGATTTCATTTTTCAACTTCCAGTCAAACAGTACCTGAGGGATGTACAAAGGAATGGAGATCACACCTGTACAGGGAAGTAATAAGAGTTTTTAAAAAATAGCACACATCAACTAGTACAAAGCGGCATACTCTAAAGGGTACGCAAGACAAATAATGTATTTGAATTAGCTTAGAATGGCTTGATTATAATTTAGAAATTCATGTATTTCACCAGGCAGCTCAGAAATTATTTCCTCCACACTCTTGTTAAAGTTTATACATTCAATCACTATACATCACTACAGCTTCTACAGTGAATTTACCCAACGTGAATTTACCTAATTCACACCAGTCAAGGTGAAGATACTATACACATTATTATCAACAGACAATTCTCCATTTCTGTGTCCCATAAATGTCTTGCCTCTCCATGTTTTCTCCATGATCCCTTTGTTCACACTTTCTCCCTTCTCTCACCCTTTTCCGGCACTGTCTCCAGTATCTGTAATCATTTTCCATGACTCTATATACTCTAATCTCCTACACACTCTAAACGACAATTTGTATAACAGTTGTCATCAACATTGTACCTCTAATGGCTCCTTATTCCCAAAATAAGTACAGGTCCCAACCTGTATTTTCAGCCATCTCCAGTGTAAATCATCTGTACATTAACCATGACCCAAACCAAACAGGATGGGCCACCCTTCCTCCAAGACATCCCACACTTTCACATCTCTTTCTCTCTGCCAGCACCATTTCCCCTTCCTAGAATTTCTCTTGTCTTCTACTAAGAAATCTATTGGTTTGTCGGAAAAGTCATGATACTTTTTGAATAGAAAAACATGCCATGACTTTTCTGATAACTCACTATTTACTTCTTTCTCACTCTTCACTAAGGCAAAAAAAAAAAAAATGACTTCCTCAATATCATCTGTCTTAAGAATTTCTTGCAGAATGGTTCCTCTGTTATCTACACCCTCCAGACTCTACTCATTTTTACCTCTCTTGTGCACGAATACTATTTACTGTATATTGTAGTCATCTTTTTAATAAAAATGAATAGGGCCATGTCATAAATCAGTATTTGTTTTTCCTACAAGAGTTGACTGAGGGACCAGCAGTTAGCGTAATGGCTATGTTCCTGGACTCCCATGTAGTCGACCACAGTTCACATCCCGGACCTGGTGGCTTAAAACTCACGCCGGGCGTGTGTGCGTGTGTGCCCAAGATCCCGAGAGGAGAATGGAGAAGGGATTGTGGCGTGGCCATCCCCCCAGGGGGTGATTTCTCACTTTCTGTCTCTCTGTCTCTCTCTGTCTGGTGAGCACATGCGCCCTATAGCAAAAACCTTTCCAAAAAAAAAAAAAAAAAAGTTGACTGAGCAGTTTCTATTTAACTTAAATTAACAACAACTAGTATGTACTGTACAATCACCTATGTCAGCATCATGGGATGTGCATTATAAACATCATCTCATTTAATCACCATAAACACTTCGTGACATAAGGACCATGCTGAGTTAACAACTAGAGAACCTGAAGCTCAGAGAGGAGACATAATGAATCCAAGGTCTGCTAAACTAATCATTGGAAAAGGTGAATTTGAAACCATGTAATGCAATTTCAAAACGTCTGACTTGAGCTGTGAACCATCACTGAATGAACAGGTAAATGAGCTCTACCACAATGACTCAGCCCAACACAAAAACTGCTTAACTATGAAAAGTTAAGTGTAAAAATGAGATGTCAGCAGTCACTTACATATAAAAAAGCAGTCACTTACATATACAAATAAACTGGGGCTCTCTTTCCTTTAGCTTTTGAGGGGTTTTAGTTGCACTGACAGTTCAGTCAGGTTGCTGAGATATCATATATTAAGTGGGAGCTCAGTTGAAATCTTATTTTGTTAAGTAACTTTATAATAGGAAAGCCAATCATTGAGAATAATAGAAATGACCCCAGACCTCTACAGGCCGTAGAGCACCAGGGCGTGACAGTAGAACCACATGGAAAACCTGGGTTAGGATCCCAAGTCTACCTGATCCTTGATGACTGGTAGGCTGGGGTGTCAGCAGTGCAGTTGGACAAGGCTACTTGCCTGAAGGAAGGAAGAAAAAAAGGGAAGGAAAGAAGGGGGAAAGGGAAAGGACTAACTTTAAAGAGAAAAAGAGAGAGTAACTTTAAAAAGAGAGAGATAAAAGAAAGGAAAAAGAAGCATTCTCTCAGAACAAGATTATAGGAGGCTGTGATGGCACAGTTTCAGAACTGGTATAAGGAGATGTGAAATCTGGTGTTCTGTTCCTAGGCTAACATAAAGATGAGAGACCAGACTCCATCAAGGTGGAAAGTTGTGTGGTCAGTTCTTATTTGGACTATACATTGTCCAAATAACTCACTTATTTTATGTTTCAATTGCATTTTTAATGACGAGTAGGCTTCTTCGTGGTGCCTTTTATTTAATCAAGGCTGTGTGTGTTACATGTGTATGTGGTATAAAATAGGTTATCAGGTTCACCTGAGATAAATCAAAGCATCTCAAAACCAGAGACATGTGTTCTATTTTAGCCCATGGTGTGGCTTCTGCGGTTCCCAGCACGAGTATTTCCACACCTGTACTCATTTCTTCCACAGAATGAGAAAGAAGAATGAGATGTCAGCAGTCACTTACATATAGATGTCGCCAACTTAAAAGTTAAAGGAAAGGATGTGACATAAATATTGTTTTTCACACATTTTTTGAAAGAGGAAGGGTGTGTTCAAAATCGTAGGAGCTGCTTCAAACAGAGGTTAGATTAAAACTAGTTTTATTCCTCTGGTTTTAGTAAAACCCTGCTGACACTGTATTTTATGTGACATTGTAGGACACAGATCATGTACAGTTCCTGCTTTGCTGAGTAAAGGTAATCTTAGTGGCTCATTCCAAAGGAGTTTCAAAAAAATTAGTCAGAAATATTTCTCTGATATACTCATTCCTAAGTATTTCTACAACTCCTGGAAGTTTCTACAACTTCTGGGTCAAATGGACTTGATAAGTAAAACTAAGAGCTAGTTCCTTTAAAAGAGCAGTAAGAGTGGTCAAACAGCGAAGCAGTGGTAAAATGCAATGCTCTGCAAGGCTGATCCACATGATAGTTCCAAGTTCACATCCAGAGACTCTGACTACTCCCGGCCTGCACCTGCCATAATCCAGGGTCGGCTGGGGGACTGATTATGCCATCAAGACCCTGTTATGGGTGCTATTTCTCTCTCTCTCCCTATGTCTGTCTCACTCTCTTTCTATGTTTCTTTCTCTCTTCCTGAAGAAATAAATAAATAAAACTTTTTTTTTTTTGGAGAAGTTTTCACTATAGGGCACATGCACTAGCCAGAAAGACAGAGACAGACAGAGAGACAGAAAGCGAGAAATCACCCCCCAGAGGGGATGACCACGCTGCAATCCCTTCTCCTCCATTCTCCTCTCAGGATCTTGGACACGTACACACACATGCCCAGTGTGAGTTTAAGCCACCAGGTCCGGGACTTAAACTGCAATCGACTACATGGGAGTCCAACGACATAGCCATTACACCAACTGCTGGTCCCAATAAATAAAACTTTAATTTAAAAAAAAAGCAAAAGCCTTCAGCAGGTCTGATTAATTTTTTTTTTAAATAAGACTAAACAAACTATTTTTTTTAAAGGAGATGAGGAACAGGAGGAGAGGAGAAGGAAGGGAAAGATGATGAGAAGAAAAGCCTCACCAAGCTCTAGTTAATTTGTCCCACATCAGCCTGCCCTCACCTCTCTGGTCTTACCCCTTCGTTCTCCTCCACCCCCCACTCACTCCACTCCAGCCCCTCTGGCTTCAAATACACCATATACTCTCCCAGCTCAGATCCTTTGCCTTTGCTGTCCCTTAGTACAAATGTTGTTCCCCAAACAGAGCTTCCTCTGTTTGCTCGGGTATTTTGTTTGCAGTAAGATTAAAAGTTTAAAATTGCAATCCATCCCTAGCACATGCCTTCTCCCTCATCCCAGCTACATTTTCCTCAATAGTGATTATCACCCTCTAAACTACTATATAATTTATTTACTTATTTATATTGTTTATTGTTCGTTCCTCACTCCTGCTCCCAGTAGAAAGAGAAGTATAATAAAGGCAAGGATTTTTTTTTATTTACTATTAGTTCCTTTTACTTGTTTAAAATCAGGTTAATTCACTCATTAATGCATTTTTAAAAGATTCTTATATACTGGAGAGTATGTCCATAACTAAATACTTCCAATAAAGATATTATATCTGAAACAGGAATTCTATTTTAATACAAAATTTTGAATTTACAAACTCCAAACCAGTATCATTTCATTTGGTACAAGCTCACTGATAAAGGATACAGTTTAAGCTTTTGTTTATACTGTAACATCTTCAAAATATTAATTTTTAAAAATACCTATTATTTACTGTTCAATGAAACGTCACTTCTAAGATTTCTCATACTTATTGGGTCCTCATCCTGATTGTCTCTGCTATGCAATGAATCTGACAAGACGGTGAACGTTTCTGAGCCTTCAAGATGTTGACAGGGGTTTCTTCTATTTAGTGAAGATTCTGGTGAAAGGTTTCATTATCTGCATAGGGTTGCTGCCTAGTATGCGTCCACTGATGTGTTGTGAGGGATGATTTCTGACAGAAGGTTCTCCCACATTCATGACATTCATAGTGTTTCTCTTCTCACATTCATTGCATTCATAGGGTTTCTCTCTTGTGTGAGTTCTATGACGTTCTCTAAGTTTTGACTTTGCAGAGAAGGATTTTCCACATTCCTTCCATTCATAGGGTTTCTCTCCAGATAACCTTCTTGGTAGAATAGGATCTGCATCCAGATGAAATGTTTTTTTCTAGTATTCCATTTCTCTCCTTACTTAATGTTTTGTTGTTGACAGATCAGCTTTCTACAAATGCTGGCCTTGGTTTTCCTGGCTCTTTTTCATCATGTCACCAACTATGCATAAGTCTAGTGGTTCTGACTTGAGGGTTCTTCCTCTAATATCCATGGCTCCTCTCCTTGTTCCAACATGAAAACCACCTCTGGTTTGGTAATAC